GTACTATGTTATGTTTTATTTATTTATAATGATTTAATTATTTATAATCTTCAGAGTCTATATTTAATATTATGATGTCAATGGATTAATTATCTTATGTGTATTATAATTACGATAAGATGTCAGGAAAATAAATAAATTGAAAAGATGCAAAGTTAATTTAATTGCATCTTTCTTTGACATTCTAGTGAATTAACTTCATATTTATTTATCATCACTTTTTATCTAAGGGTAAGAGAATAAAAAAATGGAGAACAGAGTGAAGGAGAAGATTCCGTTCAGGGACGCCGGGAATCCGCCAGGAATATCAAAAAAGTTACTGTCCTATCATTTCAATCGAAGACTAACCTTATACACGATTGTAACTCTCATCCTTGATTATGCAAAGAGTGCAAGGCGATCTTTACTATCGTATTAGAAGTCACTATTCAACCTTTTCTTTAAAATGTTGATAGATCAAATTGATATATCAATTGCTTATATGGTATTTTGATTTAGTTAATACATATAATTATATGAATTTCGCGGAATTATAATGTATAACTATAACACCATATAACAATTTCTTTCTGATTATATATTTTTATTATTATCGTAACGTTGACGAAATTGTTGCAATCCTATTATTACATTACAATGAAATTGTTGTAGTTATTTCACTATAATAGAAAAAGTTATTGGCACAATTAAAATATTGGCAACTGTAATATTTTATAGCCAAGTAAATATTTTTTACAATATAAATATAATTTAATTTTAAAACATTTAATTCAATTAAATTTAATAAAACATATATTTTAACTTTCGTAATATTATTATAATAATAAATCCTTTAATCTTTTTTATCTTGTTGTGAAACTGCTACACATATTGCATTTTTAACATGTGTATATGGTATATTGTAAAGAATATATAATTAGATGTTTAATTAAACTATTAAATAATCAAATTTTAATTTATTTAGGTATTTTAATATCGACAATACGAATTTTTAATTTATATTTTATAATATGTTAATTTTTTTATTTATATTTTTTTTAGTCTATAAATTTTTTATTAAACGCGAAGGAGATAATATTACAGATAACTAATATTTAAAATTGCATCTAAAATTTTCGCGAATCTGAATGTTATCAAGAATTAATTGAAGCAGACAAAATATATGTTCAAGACTAAAGGTAAACGTAATGGCATTTGAGGATATCTTAATTGCTCATGGCGAATCTGCCAGTCAAATGGCCAAAGCTGTATCACTTTATGAATCACACACAGAGGCCGGAATCTTCCAGTGAAAGTCACCTGTAAGTAGTTGCGTAAGGGACACCAATGATTTAGCTTGGGGCGAAGTCTTTGGTACGTAATTGTATGTCAATCGCATTGATCTCATAATCAATAAAATCGCACAATCAATAAAATTATGTTGAAAAATATTTTGTAAATTAGTTACATTTTTTTGTTATCTTAATATTGAGTTTTTCGCATACTACATGTTCGGCATTTTTTAAATGCTGATTTATGCTGATTTATGTTGAAGGCTAAATAAGTCAAAGGTCTTGTGTATTTCAACTTGATATTCTTCGATCGAAAATACCCATCGAAGAAAATTTTATATTTTCGTCAGAAATATTTGCATAAATAATAATTTCTCTATTTTTGACATAGCTAAACTTCGGTTTTCGTACTTCGACTTTTAAACATTTATCCTCTCATTCGAAATCTTTCGAAATTACGAGAAGAATTCTTATTAAGAGACTTGCTCTAATTCTTTATCTTGCAATCGCCTATACTTGCACAAATTTTATTTATTAATAATTTCTTAAATATTAAGATTACAAAAAAAAAGTTGTAATTTGAAATTTATTGACGAAATGTAGGCCTTAAAATGCTCTTCTATCAATTTTTTTTAATTATTATTGTATTTATATATTGCATTATAAAATATAATTAATGTATAGTTTAAACTGATGTTAAAAGTAGTAAATTATATTGATATGTACGTTGTACACACACGCAATAAGACGCTTGTGGTCTCGCGATTATGTCAAAATTTTAATTAAATTCCAATGACATGCAGGAATTCAATAATACGTGAAAGCTCGAGTATGTAGAAATGTGCAAACATTTTCAGATTACACGTGCGCACGTTTAAGGCAAAACTTCATTCCACACATATGTGAATGACACATCTTGTTGCGACAATTGTATACATGAATCACGATGATTCTTAGAACGAAGTGATCTTCTTTTAACACAATAAATCTTTTCATAAAAGCATATCTTGTAATTGATGAAAGAGATAAAAAAATTGTTATTTAGAATAACTAAGGTAATGGAGGATTTTAGCTAAAATACATATATTAATTTTGTTTATGTATTCCTCTATTTAAACTATTTTTACATTCTTTTAATAGATATTTCGATAGTTGTATATTTTAAAATTTTGTTTAAATAGAATCTATTTTAATTATATAAACAAGAAACAAGGATTTGTTGCTGCTACTTAAATTAATTATATTTACAATATACAATAAAAAATTATATAATTTTGATTACTTAAATAAAGAAAGTACAACAAATTTTTTAAGTTCATTATCAGAAATAGATTTGTAAAACGAATTAATTATTGAATGTAAAAGATCATACCGTGTACTTGCACGTGGGTGGGAATGTGCATACGCACGCATAGATTAAACTATTTAATATTACAATATTTCAACTGTTAATATTTTAGGAAAAATATTTCAAATTAAAATAGATAAAAGTTGTAGAAAGGAAAGAAACTTAAAGTATGAAATTTTTTTTCAGGAAAGAAATTGTTAATTTAATAGAGAAATTGCAATTTTGAGATGATCAAAATTATGTATATACAATATGTTATATGATGTCATTGCAATGCCACGGCATTGAAATAAATAATGAATGAAAATGTAGTGCAACGACATTCTCACTTGAATGAGTGTCAATATGAATGGAAATCTCGATTAGATAACGAGTCACGACGGACGCAACTATTACTATACATATATATAAGTAATCAGTGTCACTTTCTACTACGTACTATTATTACATAAATAATATACTACGTAATAGTATTGATTCGTAATTAATGATATACTAATAATAATAAATGATAGCAACGGACTGCGTTTATATGCCTCTCTTTATATTTAAGTATGTTTTTTATATTCATATTTAAATTAATACATTTTTTTATCCTATTATTAAATTTTTTTAATAGTAGGGGATGTATCGGGGCTCGTTGGTACAGTTCTCACAATTTCAGTATCACAATGTAAGTTTCTTATACAGCAAATTTTATATTAAATTAATGAAAATATAATCTTCTTGAGGCTTCCATGGGTGCTTTCTGTATGAAGGTTATCCGTTTCGCGGGTTTTTTCCGTGTCCGTATCCATTCTTGGAATGCCAACGTTTCGTGAATCTTGCAGTCCACTTTATCAGGGCAAGGAGCAGCCTGATACTAGTTCACGAAATGTTGGCATTCTAAGAATGGATACGGACACGGAGAAAACCCGCGAAACGGATAACCTTCATAATGAAAATATAATTTTAAAAAACCGCAGAGAAAGATATAATATTTTTTGATAAAAATTCATTTAAAATTATTATATCTTTCAAAAATTATTTTGTATAATCGATAGCAAACTGCTGTTGCAGAAAAACAAATATGTATTTTAGATGTAGCTTGCTTCAATATAAAATGTTAAACGTAAAACGGTTTGATAAATTTATTAACAGTTTGTTAAATTGTAATTGAATGTTTACACATTTCTCATGCGCACGATATAGTAAATTAAGCTTGCGGCCATAAATAAGATTTGAGCCAATATACCCCTTTCTACATACATTTGCTTTCAATCATTTTATTATAAAAAATTATTATTGTTATGCAAAATAATATGATAAAAGAAACTTTTTCTTTAATTAATAATATGTCACTTAGATTGTGACTATCTAAAATTGAAAAACTAATACGAAATTTTCAAACGCTCAAAAATTTATTTAAATTTTACTTTTAAATCAGATTTCTCCCTTTTTTTATTGTAATACTTAAAAAAAACACTTATACTATAAGAAATGTATCCTGCAATAATTTTTCCACTGTTTCTTTTGTCATAAATACATAAACGGAAAGCAATGACAACTTATCTCTCGTGCCAACAAACCCCGGCAAACGTATTAAAATATCTTAATAATTAAAAAGCAAATAAGAAAAATATGTAAACAATCAAAAATGTATTTCGTATCAACAGATATGCAATTTATTATACATATATTTATATCAAGTATATGCGTAGTAATATACGCAACGGGTAGCGAAATGTGTGTCGAATATCTACAAGACATTAACACGAGAATATATTAATATTAATATAGGTCACTAACATAAATCGGATTTTTAATTGATTTTATTGGTAACGGAGATTTAAATTACTGACTGAAAATGTCATATGTTTATTATATAACAATTATGTATTAAAATTCATAAATTACACACAAATAATAAATAATAAAATATAAGCATTAAATTTTATTTTAAATAATAATTATTAATTTATAAAATACTAAAATACTAAAAATCCTAAAATTATAACTATAAAATACTAAAATTAAATTTTAGTTATAATAATAATAATATTTATCAAATATTATTTTTATTGAACTTATAAAAATTGGAGTAAATCATTTTCTTTTGCAGAAACATTTTTTTTCTTAAAATTTACTTTTGAAATGTTAAAAATAATTAATTTAAAACATATTTTTATTATTATTATCTTCTTAATTATTTTAACAAAATCATTAAATATCTTAATTTTATGAAATAATTAATTGTTTATTTTATTTTAAGAAAAAAAAGATTTTTTTTTATTTATTCAGTTTTTTGTCAATTTAATAAGTGTAAGAAAAATAAATATATTATATATAATTAAATAAGTTCCTAATTTCTAAAGTTGTATATAAATGTACTGAAGACGTACCAAGATGAAGAGGGCTGCAGTTGCACGCCGCAGCATCTTGACCAGAATCCTTTTTCAGCAAGGCATTGTCCGCGCAGCCTCTCTATAATGACGAGGATGATCCCCAGAGATAATCGCACGCAGCGCGTCGTTCGAACTGAACACGTCGCTGGCAGAAAAAGACTTTTATACGGGGTGGGGATCGCCGATCCCCCAACTGGTCTCATCCTCGCTCTATCTTCTCTTTTCCCTATTCTTCTCATTTCAATTTCTCGAGATTCACTCCTGTACTTTCTTTCATCTCCTCTTTCTCTTCTTTCTTTTTTATGCAGAACATAATTTTGTCAAATCATCGATAATTAATTTGACATGTTACTTAATTGTCAATTTTATCGTTATATCTTAATTTCGATGGTTTTTGCAAGCATTTTGAATCGTTTACTTTAGAAAAGACATTAGTTATAAAATCTTGTTTATTAAAGTCTTTTGTTATTTTGTTATTTTATTGCTATTCCTATATTTAATTATCCTTATGTATTATTGTTAATTTGGTCTTTACTCAGAACAATTTTTGAAGCTTGACTTTATTCCTGCCACATAAAGGATTAAGTTAGTATCGATTTTCGATACCATTTGTAGTGAAATGTTTCCATTATTTATTTCTCTTTTAAACAAGTGACGTACAGACCTTGATTAAAAATACGCTATTCAAAATGTAGTTCAGGTGCGCTCTTAAGCAAGTGCATTTAGGTTTCTTCAGTTTATGGCTCCCACGCTTACCAAACAACCAGATGAATTAATCTCTTTTAATTCAAGTAAGTTTGTCATATATGGTTAACAATGGTGGCGCGAATTCTTAACAAATGTCAAGATGATTAATAAGAATCAATTAAGTATTACAGGTCGTGGCGTTTAATTGGATTCGAAGAATACTTTCAATGTCTTTCGTGTCATTGTTGTAACACTATTGACTTTTATAAGGTTTATTTATTAGAAATAACTTCCTTGTCGAAGTCTAACGTGCTTTGTCATTGTTAATGAAGCAATAGATCGACATTGCAATACTCAAGGGGGTTACTTTCATTCTTGCTTGAGAAACACGATGAAGAATAAATTAAAATTTAAATGCACAGATAAATTTTAATGTATTTTAATAGATCAGGTTTTATAAATTTTTTAGTTTTAAATAAGTATTTGTATTATAAAAAGACTAATTACATTTATATAAATATATAAATATACAGGGTGTTTCCAAATTAAATCGCAAAACTTCGGGAGCGTGTAGAGGAGTAAAAAACTAAGAAAAAAAGTCCTATAGACATATGCTCGTT